ACTCTTTTGTAATGTGAATCCAATCAGAAATATTATTTTCTTATTCTATACAATGTTTATCCATAAGTTCACTATTTGAGTTTAACAGATTCAATTATAGTTTTGTTTAATACTTTAATATCATGTTTTTTTAATTTGCAGATTTTTCTGAGATTTAAAATAATAAGAAATCTATTGCAAATGAGGTGGATTTGTTAAATCTATAAAATACTATCAAATATTCTAATTATACATCAGGAATTTTATAGAGGTGTTTTAGTATGCTATAAGTACAGAATGTTCAAATAATGCACTAAAACATTGTGTTCTAGTATGTACACAAGTACAAAATGTTCACATAACACACTAGGACATTTTGTTCTATTATGAGTATGCTATAAGCACTAAATGTTCGAAAAATGCATTAGACTGTTGTGTTCTAGTGTGTTAGTACTATTCTAGGAGTGCTATATGAATGGTGTTCATGTTCATATAGTGTTGTTGTTGTGGAACATCTTTATTTAATTCCTGATGTATTAAGAATCTGAATTGGGGGATAAGTAATTATGCCTATCATAAAAATTAGTCTCCTTGACATTTAATCAATTATAACTTACACAAAATTTTTAATGAAAAAACATGATAATTTTATATAAATGTAATCCAATTCAATATGATGGATAGATTTATCTAATAAAATTAATTTAAATAGACCTTATTGCTGGTTTTCATTCCTAGGGAAGTCTAAAATAATATTTTCAGAAATTTGCAGAAATCTACCTCATGCTGTTTTCTCTTGGTTACATTTATATTTTGCTTAATATTTTTATAATAATAATCAATGCAATTTTGACATTTTAAAAAACACAGAAACTCAATATCTAAGCTAGGCTCATAATTGGACCAACTAAAGTTATAGTTGAAGTTAACTTGATATTAAAACATACCATTAAACATGTTGCAAATCAACTCATCCAATAATATGAAATTTTTTCATATTGATTTATTTAAATTAAACTAGATCTATCAGCGAGTAAGTTATGACTTCACTAATCTCTAATCTAATAAACTGTGTGATTTGATTAAACAACCTATAATTCATTTCTTCAATGATACAAAGAATCATTATACTGAGAATTACTTTTATTAAGTATGTTGGTTTTTCATTTTTCTTTTGATAATATCTATGTCAATATAAATTTAGTAACCTATTTAGTGTTTAAATACTTAATAGTATATATTTTTATAGAAGAAAAGTGTACTATATGTATTTTTTTTTCATAAATTGATAGTTTCTACAATAATATCCCTATTTACTATGGCTCTTTTTAAATTAAATTTGAAATAATCACTGCGATGACTTTCCTATTTTATTGTTGTATTTTTCTAGATTGAATTCTTGAACTTTTTTGTATATTTGAAATAACTGTTTTGGTCTATATATATACTCAAAAGTATAGATTTCATCATTGAGTAGAAAAGCTTGTAAAACTTTAATTAGTAAATTAATTTAAGTTTTAACTTAGAGTTTTTTTTTTTTTTTATTAAAAAAACTCATTAGATAAGCTAAACTTCTGTAAGAATGGATATATCCATACAAATTTATTTTGCTAACTTTATATAAAGAATATGAGAAAGAAGGTCATCTGTTTCTTAATATAATTATGGAAATCCTATAAGAATAATTAGATCATTATAGTCTTTTGCAGAAAAAGACAAAAATTAGATTATGAATAAAATCTAATTATACTATAAATTATATACTAGTTTCATTTGCATAAACATTCTATTGAAGTGAGAAATAATAAATTTCTACCATTAATTGAATTGAGTTATAATATTAGCTTCAATTTGATATAAAGGAAAAGGAAAGAAAATTCAGATTATATAATTTAACCTTCTTTTTGAAATAATTATGGACATTTCCATGTCACAAAAAAAAACTCAAATAGTTTAGATAATAAAAGAATAATTCTAATCAATGTTATAATTGCTTCTTTTTTTTATTAATATAATAATTATGATATAATCAATTTGACCTCTAGAATTAGTGGACCTTTATCAATAAGCAAGTTAAATTGTGTAAATAAAAATTAATCTATAGTTTTTTTGTATTTAATAATAATAAAGGATAGGCACATAACTGATCCCTCTTCTATAATCAGTGGACCTTTATTGGCAAACAAAAGCTTGTAATAAAATTTTTTTTTTGTATTGGTTGATAAAGAAAGCATTTTATCTAAAATTATTTTTGATGTCTTTATAGATACAGTTAACTTGATTGTATTTTTGAAATTTTGAGTATACTCTTTATAATATACCTGTCACAATTCTTTATAAGAGTTGGAATCTCATTTTTTTGAATTATGGCAGGTATCATTAGATTATTTGCAATAACATTTAATGGTTGGCAATAAGTTTCTTCTACTTGCTTAAAATTGAGAGATTTTTTAAGAAAATCTAAGGCATATAAGAATTAATTATTATATTCAGAAATTCTAGAATTAATACCAATTTCTATGCAAGATTATAATATTTATTAATATGAGAATAAGATTATTTTTAATTGAATTTAATTAAAATAAAAAAAAAATATTATTTAGAAGGTTTTGAGTTGTAGTAGAAGGAATGACATAATCCCTAAACATGGTTTTTTTTTTTCTTGGTCTCTCTTTATTATTATGTGTATTAGGAGGAGAAGGTGACATTCGTGGCAAATGAGGTATGAACTATATGTAATAATCTGTATTCAAATTGATTGCTGTTTTTAGTCTGTAAAAGTAAGCATTGCACCTCTTTTTTATTTGAATTTTTCATGAGTGATTATATTTTTTTCATTTTGTAAAAATTTCTCTCTAATGTTATAAAATTTTTATGTTGATTTTTTAATTATCTTTTTTAATAAAAACTGCACTAGAATATAGATTGTTATGTCTAAATCAATAGTGGCAGTATAACTTCAGATATTTGAATTTTTATATGTATATATTTTGTGAATACATCATTATTTTTAACAAACTTCTTATATTATATATTATAAAAATGTTAAGGTAAATATTTAAATAAATTGATTTTTATCAACCTATGTTTGAAAATTGAATAAAAGTTTTCATCTTTTTCTTTGCAGTAAAAACTTCTATGCTTTGTTGTGAGCTTTATTCTTTAATATTATTAATTTCTTGCCAGTCAAAAGTGAATGAATAATAAATAAAAATATAAATTTAAATTATATCATACTTCTGGCTTTTATCTATAAGAATTCTTTTGGGCTTAAATAACTTTAATTAAAGATTTTAATAAAATAAGTAAAATGAATATTATAATGTATTTGCTAAGATGTATATTTTCATTGATATAGGTACATATTAAAATATTCCAAATAGTGATATTTTAAATAGATTGTCAAAGCAGATATGGATTATTGGAGATTTGAAGATGAAATCAATGAGAAAAATAAATGGTGAAAGTATCTTTGCAAAGATTTTTATCATAATTCTTGCATTTAGTGTAGAAAAAAGATATCCATTTTTCTTTCATACATGTTTAGAATAAACCATCTCCATTTTTAATTTGTTTAAATTGCAATATTAATAGAGAAATTACTGAAGATAAAATACTCTAGACAGTTGTTTCTTTTGTTTTTGCTCTTCTGAAAACTTGCAATTTTGTCTTGGAGAATTCTTATTACTGTCTTAACTAGAGTTATTATATTATTTACAAACATGTTTTCACCTTAATCACATCTCTTCTTTTTGGCATCTTGAGATCTTTTTTAAATTATTTATTGAAATTTTTATATTTTTCAATATAATTTATAAACTTTTGTGCTTTTCTCTTTTGAGCAAGAATTTATATATTATAAAACTTATCATGATTATTATGTGTATTTATAGGTAATATACAAGAATTATTATCTTTATCATCTTTTTAATAATTCTACTAAAAATTATATCAGTGTTTAAAAAATTATCCATACCATCTCATTCTGGTATTAAATTATAACTCATTTCTTGACATTAGTAGTACCAGATTGAAAGACAAAATATGACTATAAATTAATAATATCACTATTGTAATTATTGCCTAGTGTCTTTGACTGTTATAGATTTATAATACTCAGTTGCTAACTATAAATGTATACCTTTATCTATTTTTCATAATCTTTTATGTAAAGAAGGGAATTCCTAATTTTCTGAAGATTTTTGAAATATCTGCTATTTTCATGCAAACCAATTGAAATTGTTTTCAAATATCCAATACCATCTGCACATTCTCATTTATAGTTTTTCTCAGAACTCATAAACTTATAAATGTTAATGACAAAAAATTTGGAATAAACAAGTTTCAATTGATATTGATGAAAAAGTTATGAAATATCTGATCACATATCTGATCACATTTCAAGTGGGTGCACAAATTATAATGTGGTTTTTTGAATGTTCTAAATTTATAAAAGCCATAATTATCTAATGTTTATAGCTGTTACTAATTAAGATTTATGATATCTTGAATTGTCTAACTATAAATGTATTCCTTTATCCATTTTAAATAATCTTTTATGGAACAAAGGAATATCATGATCTTTAGATTATTATTATTATTTGAATATGGAACAGACTGTAGAATTATTCATTTTAAAAAAAAGATTATACAATTTGATTTTTCTTTGCTTGTCATAATTGTGGTGGTATTTGGATTATTATATAACTATTGTTTTTTTAAATCATGGATTATAAAATGTCAAGGTTTTAAATCTCAAAAGTCACCTTGAACAAGAGGAAACCTAAATCATAGCACAATCATTCTCTCATTTATATACTCTAAATGTGGGTAAACTTCTATATATTTTGCTCTTTTATTTTAATTAGAATTTAAATTATAATGTGTATGGCCACATATTTTGTTTCTAATTTATTAAGTAAATATATAGTTATAGTATAACCACATATGTTTGTTTCAGACCTATTGAGAGTAAATGAATATTTCTTTTTTTTTTATTTGATTTTTAAACCACATCATTTCTATATGGTATATGATTCAATAGTAAATAATGGTGCACATAAAGAAAATAATAATATCTTGGAGAAGTTATTTTTAAACTTTGGAGATGAAAGTCCATCTGTATCAATAGTATTCTAAGCTTATTAAGCAGAAAATTAAACTTACATTTTGACCTGACTTATTGTTTGTTAAAAACATTGTTTATCTATTTTTTTTCTAGACATTAAAAAAACATTATGCATAATGCTTTAGTGCTTATGAATATTGGCTTACTTCAAGCCATTGAATAAATACTATTTTTGCAATACAATTAAATTCCTGGTATATCCATATTTTCATTATTTTTATTTTATTTATTGTTTTTGTTTTATTCATTTATTTGAAAAGAATGAGCATATTCAAAATATAGAAAAATAAATGTTGTGTGCTTTAGGAAAATTTCAAATATTTAACCATCAACCTAATTTATATATTATTCATAATTTTTTTTAAATGTAAATTAATTTTTATTTTTTAATTAAAACATATGTATTGGAACCAAATTGAAATGTTCAATTCAATCTCTATTTATACTGATATTAATATTGTCATTTCATAGTACTTTATGTCATTATTTGATAATTATGAATTTAAAAGTTAAACATTTAAACATAATAAGTAAATGATTTAACAATTTAAAATTCTTTTATTTAGTTCTTAATAATCATGAGATCATATAAAGTAATATGTGAGTATATACATATAAAGTCATTAAACCAATCAAATAATTTAATTTCTTGCTCTGCTTTTAGTGCCTTATTTCTCTAGTTAATAACTAGAATTGGAAAATTGATTAATTTCAAATATACAAAGAAAGAATACTTGATGAAGATATTTGATGTATACATATAATTATCTCTTAAAGAAAAAATTCACAATTTAATTTGAGTTTTTATTAAAAATAAAATTAAATAGATGTTTCTATAATAAATGCTGAGGAAATTTACTTATCTTTTAAATTTTAGTTTTCTATTAAGTTGATGACAAGAATGACCCTGGAAACCACTAACCCACCTGAACTTATCATGTATTTACAGAAATAAGACAGATAGAAATTCTTGTCTCATCATAGTTTATCTTCATTGTAATATGATTGGTGTTAAGAGAAATATTTCAATTAGAAATTGATTTTTAATCCCTTCTCTATTTGATTCATCAAGTTCTTTAAAGTAATTCTTGACATCTCACTTTTAGAATTATTTCTTGAATCTGCTCGAATTTTGATTTTCCAGATTCATTCCTTACCTAAATCCAGTCAAACCACTCGCATAACATTCGTGATGAGGCCACATTTGTATGAAAGTCTCTAATTTAAGTCTTTAATAATTGTCCTGCCAAATAATTTCCTGTCAAAAAAAAAGAAAATTTAAATTGAATAAAAACAATAAAAATTGGATCAAATCACATAAGTGAATAATTGAATAATATAATTACCATGTTTCTCGTAGAGGATCATCTGAGAAACTCTATGAACAAATATAATAGTTCTTTGTAGCCCTCAACACATCTCGATATTTTTAACAGTCTTTTATGACAGTAATGCATTCAAAACTATTTAGATCAAGACCAAAATGTGTCTTTCAATAAAAAATAATCTGACTTCTATACTATATTATTTCTAAAGTCTTTGCCATTCAAATAATATATTTATGTATACTGTTCTTGAAATAAATAAGCTTATATATATTAACAAGATGAGATGCAAGGATACCGAATACAAACATTCAATTTCAAAATGCAAGCACATCTAGAATGAAATTATGGACGAGTCTGTCAATTTAAAACGGCATCTATTTGCATGGTTAAAATTTCAATTAAAATAGATAGATAAATTTGTATTATGCATATTAATTGATTATTTATTCCAATTAATAATTTAATTTATGTTTTAATAGAATTGTAAGTAAAATTTTATACAATAATATATTTCTATAATCGAAGATGAACGTGTCAAGGATTTGTATCAGATACGAGAAATAAAGAATTATTACAAATCTATTCTATACGTATAGCAGAATAATATCTTTTTATAAATTATGTAGATAGTAATTTCTTTTGATTTTGGAGATAATATTTATGTATAATATTTCCAAATTATATTACCAATCGGGCTTGTTATTCCACATGACTTCAAGAACAAAATTTCACATTAAAATCAAGTTCACAAAGTAGACAATTTTTTGCTTTATTCAAAATTTTTGAATTCTCTCTTTTTTTGTTCAAAATTTTTCATTTATTTAAATTTTCATACTTCTGATAAGTATTTATATAATAAATCATATAACATATTAACCACAAAATTTCAGTGGCTTGATATCTTTAGAATTTTGCACCGAATTTAAATTAGTAAATTATTTAATTAATAATAATATTCTGTTACCCTGTAGATTCGAGTTTTTTAGGTAATGCACTCAATCAAACAAAAAATAGATTGATAAAGAAATTTTTATTGTTAGTTATTATACTGTACTATATAAGCTTTACTATTGTGTAAAAGATCATTATATATAATAATAAATACTTAATTACTTGTTAGTGGTGTGACACAAATTGGTAATCGGGTGAAACTTCATTGGGATAATAATTTGTGGCACTAGATGAACATTCAGGTAATTGTTATCCCAGATGAGATGACCATACGAGGATGAAGGATGAAGTACAAAGATGAAGGATGAAGTACAAAAATGAAGGATGAAGTACAAAAATGAAGGATGAAGGATGAAGTACAAAGATGAAGGATGAAGTATAAACAAAAGAGAAAGTATAAAAACGACTGTTGTCAGGTGTAAGTTTCATAAGAAGTTCAGATTGTACCAGCTAGTTAATTAATTATTACTTAGTAAAATGGAATATACCAAAATATTTTAATTATTATTAGATAGAAAAGTAAACTTACTTCAGGGATGGTAAAATATACATCCTAACACATGATAATATTTCTGTCACTGAATTATACTTTACTTTTAAAAACTTATCTTAATAAACTTATATCTTGTGTCATAATATTGCGAAATATTATTAAATATTATTTGATACTGTGTTAATTGCTTTTACGTCACCTTACTCACTGTGCCTTCATGATTAATTGATTATTATTTGATTATTATTATTATTTATTATATATTTATTATCTGCTTTGAGATAGGCCAGTTTATTTGATTGTATTAGCTGTGACCTACTGACAGATAGAGCATATTATTATGCTTGTGTGATGCAAACTTTGAGACTGATTTGAGAAATTGTTTGAAATACTCTGCACAAGTGTGACATTAGTATAAGTATTATAAATATATTATAAATATATTGTATACTTTACTAAATAAATAATATTTTATTTATTTACTTTTTGGAAAAGAAAGCAATTTTTTCTTATTTGGGAGAAGACTTAGATTTATTTTATCAACTCAAAATTAAAATAAAATTAAATAAATTATTACTCTAACAACAATTAAATAAATTCATTAATATTTCCCATGAAAAAATTTAATATTGCATATTTTCTTTTTTTATTATATTAATATAGATTAAACTAAAATCCAAATTTTTAATATTACAAATTATCACTTATATCACTTATATATTATTTATTGTAAGGACGTATACATATATGTATAATTCAAATTTTAAATTATTCAAGGTTTAGAGATTTATGGAATAAATATAAGATATAAATTATACTAAAATTTTATAATATCAAAAATTAATAAATATTACTTTATCATTTAATGAGCAAAAAAACATAAATTGTTAAATAAAATTTATGAAACAATCATCATCACCATCACCTAATTGAAAATAAAAAATAGAAATAAATTAAATATAAATGAATTAATTAAATATAAAAGGAATACTCCAGAAATAGTATTCTTTTGAGAACCTTTGATGTTTTCTGTAATTAATTTACTCTGTTATATATAAATTAGAATAAGAAGTAAATTTTAAAATATTTCCGGGATGAAAATCACGATGAACTATATCTAATTTATGAATTTCTGAAAAATCATCAGCTAAATTTCTTAAATAGTTTAATAGTATAATTTATTTTCCCAATCGATATTATCAAAATTATTAGTTAAATAATTTCTAAGATTTCCACCTTCAAAATATTCTAAAACCATCATATATTCGTGAGTTTCTGAATCTTTTGTAATTCCAAAAAGATTGGTTGATGTTGTTCCAACATTTGTTTTCAAAAGAATTGCCATCTAAATAACATATTTCAAAAATTAAATTTTAATATATTATATATTTTTAAATAAATTTCATTTATAAATCTTCATTTATATCGACAATTCCATCAAACTTTTTTAATGCCACCTCAAATTGACCACTTCTTTTCCATTGTTGATTTTCAATATCCCACCTTCTAATGTATCCATCAATCCACTTAGCATAATAAATGGTACCGAAACCACCTTTTGCTATTTCTTGAAATTTATCATAAGGTATCCATTCGATTAATTCAGTATCTTTTGGAATTTGAAAGTCTGTATCTTTCGAATTCTGTATCCTTGCATCTTATTTCTCCATTATGATGCAAACTTAGTAAAAGGCCAGTCCAAAGAGGGAATCATTTTTGAAAGGAGGCTATATTACATAAAGAAAGAATGAATGATACGATAAAAAGAGAAAAAATATAGGAAAGATATATATATTGTGCAAACTTAATTTATTTTATTTCATAATTAATCATAACTTAATAAAATTTATATATACTCTTTGTAGACTTGGCGAATCTTTTCCAAGACCCCTATCGCGTGTGATCAATTTATATTGGTTCGCAATCATCTTTAATATTTTCCATCTCTTCATTCACCGGCATGGCGTGAAAGAAACCTTTGAGACAGCATATTGTGTAAATCCACAAGACATATGAATTCCATAAATCTTGGGTAGTACGATTATATTTTAGATCAATTAGTATATTTGTTCTAGTGATTATCTCGAATATTTTTACTAAAATTAATTCTTCTTAACCACAAATGAGAAAAAATTCCGTCATTTTTAGTATTATTTCTTGAATCTGCTCGAATTTTGATTCATCAGATTCATTCTTACTAACATCCAGTCGAATCCACTCATATGAAATTTGTGGTGAGGCCATTATTGTATGAAAGGTTCTTCTTGCTAAATAATTTCGCAGTCAAAATGCAAAGAAAATCAAAATTGAATAAAAATAATGCAATTTGATCAGATCACATAAATGAATAACATAATTACCAATTTCTTTGCATTGATTGTCTTAGAACTAACATAATAGTTCTTTTGCCGCCCAACTCCTCAACGCTTTCTCGATATGCAGTAATGTATTCAACATCAAGACCAAAAATGAGTCTTTCAAAGATCTGCCTTCTATATCATTTCTAAATAATATACATAATAATAATACTAAGATGATGATAAATACATCCATATATATTGTTTGTTCTTGAAATAAATAATTTTATATATTAAAGTCGCCGAATTACTTTTGATAAATCTAGTCAACAATTGAAAGCGCATCAATGTGTTGATGGCAAATATCGATAAATTCTATTCGAAACTTAATGTGATAATTGTGATTGATTTTAATTAAATGCATCATACTATTAATAATGATGATGATAAATCGTTTGATGATGATAATGAGTCTGATGATGGCGACGATGATGATGATTGAGTGAAGATTATTATAATTACTATTAATTTTCATTGATAATTATTGAAACCATTTCATTATCTGATTGAGAATAATTATTATTCTCTTCAATCATCGAATCATCCATAATATTAGGTTTCGTCTCGACTTCTTCTTTCTCTTATTTTATTGGATCAAATGAAATTATTACACGACGTACTTACATATTATAATTCTAATTTGAAAATATTCCTTTCAAAGTTCAACTGAGGTAGGAATCTTCCGTAAAACTTCTAGTTGCAGCAAGCTTCCCAATTATATAATTATGTTAGAATACATACCATCATTAATAGCTCCCATAACACTTTTTTATACTATTACAATACTCTGACATTATTTAACACAAACACATCAAAGTAAATACTAATGTTATCGTGCTTTAAAAGTAAATTTTCATACCAAGCAATCTAAATCAGCATTAATCATTCGTGGATATGAAACCAAAAATAGAGCGATGATCTGATTCTACCTTTCGTATCATCCGGAATTTTTTAGACGTAAATCCCTGTAAAGGTACGACACTTGAATACATTTAGACGCAACAATCATGATCTAAATAATATTTTTTAAATAATAATTAATATATTATGCATTTTCAAATAAATTTTCATATAAATTTAAATATTGCTTTACCTCAATTAAGAAATCTTCATTAATATCTCGAAACCATCAATCTTTTTTAATACCATTTTACGTTGACCATTTCTTCTTTCCATGATCAATCTGCATTTAGTTGAGCATCTTGAATAAATTTCATTTTTATTTGTTCATTTATCAATAATTTTTGAAACGTGTTGAACTGGAACGTTTGCACCAATAACTATTATGTCTTTGTTCGCATTCTCTAAATATATATGTGACATTTTGCTCAATAAAATAATTTACAACCGAATTTACGTTTTGAAGAAATTGCTTTGAATTGAGTAGGTCAAAATTATCATATCGAACATAAACTTAATGGAATTCAGCATTAATATACAATGTAACCTCGACCAACTTTGTGTACCAAAATAGATAATTACGAATTGAATAAGGATAATTCTATTTCGAGCTTTGTTGGTTTTAAAAATAATAACCTAAAAGTAAAATTAAAATAAAAAGAAATAAAATAAAAATAATTCCATTTGTTCATATTTTTTATTGTTTTTCGTGTAATCTAATATACTAGCGTAGGGCCCGTTCCTCCAGCACGGGGATTTTTTTTGTTATTCATTCTTCTTTTTTTTTTTCTTTATTGTTTTTTTATCTTTTATACATATGAATCTATCTGTTTGCCTTTATGTTTTTGATTTGTTGCTATTTGATTTTGCGTTAGAGCGTTTGTTTCTAATTTTGCATTTTGTGCTGAGATCAGTGGCGCATTCAGTTGTAGTTGTTATGAAGTTTATTGTGTATGTAACAGCAATGAGTTTAATAAATACTAATGCGGGAGAATATTAAATAATGGTACAGTATTTCATTTGATTTTTATTATTTTTACTTATATGAATCATTTGATTTCTTCTACAACATAAATAAACAGAATTTGTATATGAAAAATAAAAATAAAAAAAACAGGTTTCTAATTCAAAACAATAATAAAATATTGAAACTTATTTATTTGTTATTTTAATTTATTTATATATCATATTATTTACCGTATTTGTTAAACTAATTCTACTGTGAAAAATTCGGGAGTATTTGTAATTAAAGAAAAATTCATGGCTCAATCCGTTTGTAAGCAAGATTGTTAAAAACAAATATTCAAGTACTTCCATACCTTCTGAACAGTTTTAATTAGTCGCTCAAAGGTAGTTTACTTTGAAACTACGTCTCAAGGTCCTGGATGTAAAATGGAACGTAAAAAAAATTTTGGGAGTATTTGTAATTAAAGAAGAATTCCTGTTTCAATCCGTTCGTAAGCCAGCTTAGCGAAAACAAATATTCAAGTACTTTCATGCCTTCTGAACAGTTTTAATTAATCGCTCAAAGGCAGTTTACTTTGAAATCACGTCTCAAAGTTCTGGATGTAAAATGGAACTGTAAAAAAGTTCGGGAGTATTTGTATTAATTTGTTATTAAAGAAAAATTTGTGTTTCAATCCGTTCATAAGCCAGCTTAGCTAAAACAAATATTCAAGTACTTTCATATCTTCTGAAAAGTTTTAACTAGTCACTCAAAGGAAGTTTACTTTGTCCAATGTATTTGAAATTGCGTCTCAAAGTTCTGGAAGTATAAAAAATTCGTGAGTATTTATAATTAAAGAAAATTTCGTTTTGTAAGCTAACTTAGTGAAAACAAATATTCAAGTACTTTCATACCTTCTGGACAGTTTTAATTAGTCGCTCAAAGGGAGTTTACTTTGACCAATGTGTTAAAATTACATTATAAATTTCTGGAAGTGTAAAAAAAATTCGTGAGTATTTGTAATTAAAGAAAAATAATCTTTCAATCCGTTTGTAAGCCAGCTTAGCAAAATCGAATACAGAATTCATACTTTCTGAACAGTTTTAATTAATCTCAAAGAATTTTTTTTTTTCATAAATGTTTCAATCATACAATACATATAAATTTTATTAAAAGTCAAATGATGTGAAAAATTTTAACAATAGTTAACACTTTTGAGTAAGCATGTGAACTCTTTATCCTTCTCACTAAGCTGAGAGGGAATTAGATTTTGGAAAAATTTTATTATGTCAAGGATTGCCAACTCAGTCACAGGAGATCACCTGTTATCTTTTCCAAGTAAACAACTTTAGAAAAATTTTACTATGCTAAGGATTGCCAAAGCTTCTCTAGAGGCTTGTTCGGTCGTAAGAGATCACCTATTACCTTTTACTACTCGAAAAGAAATTATTATCTCAAAGAACGTAAGTGTTACAAAAATCATGTTACAAACCTCATAACCGATAGGACCAATAAAAATGGTATCACGAAATCTGAAACCCACCAATCAAAAGTCTTTTAAAGGCGACAACAAGCGATTTACTAATATTAGAGATTATTGACTCAATATTGCGCTTTGATTAATTAAATATTATAAATATACTCTTGAATAAATATTTGTATTATCACAAATATCACATCATATATAAATCATTTTTCTTTTTTAAATTCAAAAATAATTATGTAATCAAGCAAGGAAGCTATTTCAAAGTAATAATTAAATCATTATTAATCCGATATTTTATTTTTATTTTAATAAAAAAATTTTAATTACAAACTAGGTCAATTGAATTTGTATTAGTGTTAAACCTTTTATAAAATATATAATAAAAAATAAAATGAAAACTATTTATAATTTTAGAATTCATCGATATCATTATTATCAGGAAATAAAAATATAAAAATTGAATTAATAATAAAATTAATCTAAAAATTTATCCTAAACACCATCGCTATTTGGGATTATTTATGTTTTCATTAAAAGTTTTTAAATTCTTAAATTTATTTTCCAGGTTACCAACTGATCATCGACGTTTGTAATGGGACTTGGATTATCTTCAGATGAGGGTTCATTATTATTTTTTAGTATTATAACTGACTCTCTTTAATGATTTATTGTTCGATTCTTTTTGGAGTAACTTTTAGCACGAAAATTTCTTCATCGCAATATTCCGTTGTACTAGGTTCAATATTCATAGTACTTGAAGAACCTTCGAACAGGAAGAATTACCTAAAATTTAAATAAACTTATTTCATAATTGGATTTAAGCGTTTTTGCATGCAAATTCCTATTAACAATTATCACCTTGATCATTGTCACCTTCATCATCATCGCTATAATCAAAATTTGTTAAATCTGTCAATTCAGCTAAATTCTCACCCATAAGACGCAATTTTTGTTCCTCATCCTTTTTGGTTTCCTCAAGCCAAGTATCAATCATATTAGGATCAGGTATGTAATAAATGTATCGAGGATTAGTTTTTTTACAAAAAGGTTTATCTAGAGCTTCAATAAATTCTGTACGATATCTGCGAACTGCCGTACGGCTTTTCTAAATTCTTTATCAAATGCACCACTATAGAATTAAAAATTATAATCCAAGAAATTTTTACAATTATTACAACTTTTATAAATCTTTTTTGATGCGCACAATTACTTATTTATAGTAATAATTACTGACTTCATAAATGCAATCAACATATTTTGGAAAATTAACACCAATATTATAAATCCAAGTATACTCATTGCATCTGCAGCATAACTATTCCATCTTCCATTGTTCCAAAAGAACACAGCTTCTACTGATGAGGCGAAACGTGAATAATAATTATCAAATCGGAAATTTTGATTAATATCATAAAAAATTGTTATATTGAGTATTAGTCCGGATTCGAAGTGGTTTAGATTTTATAAATAGCAATTTGAAAGCTTGAGTAATACATAATTTTGAAGAATGAACCTAAGGTAGTTTTATAATAAATATAATAAAATATGATAAATGATTTAGTAATGATTAAAATAATAAAACAAAAATTCATTATAAATATTATTATAATAATTACATGGCGTGACCAAATGCAAGTACAACACTCAACATGAATGCAAAGAATGGCCAAATAGTATTTAAAATATTTATAATGATATAAACAAAACGTCCTGGAACTTCAAAATATCTCAATAAAAATAACTATAAATAAAACAATTATTATTAATAGAATAGGGGATAAATATTAATTATACTGTAAAATAATAATTCTAATACTAAAAGAGAGAAAGGGCGGGGAAGGAGCAATAAAAAAAAGACCTACTACTTCAAGCCACGCAATTAAAGCTGTAAGCGCCCCAACAGGGATAATTACTGAATTTTGCAAAATAATTTTTCCCAAATAACCTAAAATCCTCACTATAATTATTGCTAACGGTAATAACAATGAACCTAGATCAAAAATATTATAAATATTCACATATCGATACAATCCTTCTCTTTTTAATTGCATAAACTCTGTAGCAATTAAATACAATCCAGTATACCCATATACCGAAGAGCAAACTGCCAACATTATCTTTGAGTCTAATTCAAATGTTAGAGAATACGAAATAAGATATAACATATACATAATAATATGGTGAATATAGTACTGACGGACAGCCGACCATTTAAAATCTAAGACTGCCATAAGAGTAGGTGTCTGATAAATTCATAATCTTTCTCTTCATGAATAACACGAAGGAAAGGACTCATTTTTTTAGTATTACTACTAAATTTTTTATGTGGTAAATAAAATATAAAAAGTTTAAACAAAAACCAAAAATATTTTAAATAACTTTCATTATGATCTTTGAGGTTGGGGTATACTGTAAAATCAGGTAAAGGAACTATATAAACTTTACGATTTTTATGTGAAGTTTCAATCCTAACATTTTAGATCATTTTTAAATTAGTAAAAGACAAAAATGACATAATCCTACTTATGATCAATAATTATAATTACCTTGTAAATAGATTTTTAAAGAAAAACCATCGAGTATTATGGATTGGTGCAAGGCATGGTTTTACTACCAAAGAATACATCACCGCTGCGTTATTTCCTTTCCTTTGATCATAAGGACTAATATGTAATGGCGAAGTGTAAGCTTCGGTAATTCCAAAACATGGTTTTTGGAATAAATATTGAACAAATTCCCCTTTTTGAAGAAATTTAAGTTTAAAAGTTATTTTTTATTAATATAATAAATCTATCTATAATTAATCAAGTAGTAAAGAAAGTAAAGATTTTTACTTACTTAAATTATTATCATATAATAAAGGTATTGCTTTGCTTACAGTAAACATCCAGCCATAATTATTATATTCTTTAGTATTATCAGTATAATAATCTATTAAATATTTTAAAATTACTTTAGAATCTCCTCTTTCTTGAATACATAAAATAGCATGATGTAAATCTGACTTTGTTATTGATCTATTATTATCTTCATCTGCCACCCATTTATATAATCTTGGTATATATATATTACAATTTTTTCCATTAATTCTCGTATTTAAAATATGATTTATTAGGTTTTCTTGATAACTTTTAATAAGAAATTTCATAATTGGATATCTAATACTAGTTAATCTAAATTCTCCGTATTTTGTAATATACTTTCGTACTAATCTTTGTGTACATTCAATTAAATATTTAATTTGATTAACGTTTTCACGACCTTCTACATCATGTTTCTTCACTTCTAATACATAAAGGGCTCTACATGCCCCTTCAAGAACATTTACATTATTTGGCCAATGTATCGTCATTGATTTTGGTGGTGTATAAGATTTAGAAGAAGGTACTGAAACTTTTAACACAAATTCTCGTTCTCTAATTCTTAATTCGCGAACATCTATCGCTTTATTCCGAGCCCATATATATTCTAATACTCGATCGCAACGTTTATCTAGTTTTTCTGTAGTATTAATGTTACGATATTTCCATACTTGTATAGTGTTACTCGAAATAATTAGTTGAGTAATTTCAGTAGAATCCAAGTAAACTGATATTCGAAAATAATTTTTGTTTGGATGCCATGGTTCAACATTATCTATTATTATTCGATTTTTTGCTAATTTTGATGCGTCAAATCTTTCCCCATCCATATTATAAATTGCATGACAAACGTGATCCCTTGTAGAAATATCAATATTAGTCACCTTCACTGAAGGATATATTAGATCTGAATCTGCAAGATCTAACACTGAAAAAATATCTCCATTATCTCTAACCGCAAACATCTTTCCGTCGGATTTCATAAGTCTAAGTGTGGCATTCATTTTTATGGAATAATCAATTTGGCGTATGGAATTTTCAAATGTGGTAAATAAGTCCCATACAACAAATATTTGATTCTTGAGAATTTTGACTTCTTTTTCTTCAAGAACAATTAAAAGTTTACTATCATCATCAATAAAATTTATACCAATAATTTTATAAATTCCCTTTTGATCAGTTAATTGTTTAGTAGTAATTTTTAAACCATTTTCCATAAAGAATAACGTAATACAAGTGGTTTCACAAAATGCTAAAAATCTTTCACCTTGAGAGACGGCAAAAATTGGTGAATTGTGAATTATTTTGGGAGCATTATGTTTGAATAACATCTCTAGATCACCAGTAATTAAACTGTACATTTCAATAATTAGTTGGCGTTTTTCAAAAGAATGTACTACAAAATGATTTTTAATAACACTGGCGTGTAAGAGTTCCAATGAATTCTGCCAATGATTCCGTGAAAGGCGGAGACGAATTGAAAGATGTTGGGGTAATTCAAATTGTTCAATATTGGATGATTGTGAGAAAAATCTTTGCTTTCTTTTATTATGATTCATTGTTTCTTTGAAAATTCCTAAAGCATTGACCATAATGATTATTGTTTTGTTTTTTAACGGGCTATCAAGAAATCTTATAACACCGCCAATTAATTCTAAAGAAGTATCTAAATATTCTTCACTTTCACCTGAGGTAGATGTGATAGAGATAACCCATGTTTGAGGACGAAGACGATTATTACAGATTCTAAGTCACTTTGGTTGGAACCATGCACTATATCATCACGGAATCTTATTTCATCAAAACAAGACAATGCAATAAAACGTTCATTCCCACCATCGTCTACACAATTAGATATTGCCATAGACCAATAAAGGCGTTTACCGTTAATTTCCGATTTAAGTTTAAAAATACGAATATGCTTATTTAAGCTTGTATCATATAGCTTAAATTCGCGTGTTTCTGTTGTTTTATGAGTTATCAAAGATTTATTAAAAAAATTATTAAAATTATTAAAATTATTAAAATTATTAATGGTAAAAAGAAATAAAAGGCATAATAATTAATGAATGATTAATAATTAACTTTACCTGGAATAAAAGTAACAATTTGTTGACTGTCTGGACTTATTGCTATACAACTACCGAAAAACAGAGAATCTTTCTCTGTGGAGCTTATTATTGACAAAGTTTCCTTATGTTTCTTTGACATATTTTGTGAACATGACGGTTCAATGAAAGTAAAATTATATTTACTTTCATAATCTTTTTTTTTTTTTTTTGCTAGATGATATCATTTTAATTTATTATAGGCACAGACAAGTCATATAATTACGTTCGTGCGCATTTATGCATTATGATGCAAGTATATTTATATAACCTTAATTTATTCCGATTTTTGTAGCATATTGTCACGTTCTGTGCAGAACAAAGCGATAGTTACACCAATCAGTCTCAAATTTATCACGTATATATCACTAACACGATTTTATTGTGCACAATATCACGACACAC